CGGCAAATATTTATAGCATCCTATACACATTTATGCTTATAGAATGTAACACAGCCAAACCTGTCAATAAAGGATAACTGAGAAAGTGGCCGCTATATAATGGTGGCCCTTGTAAACAGGTTCTTCAAACATATTGCTCTCCTGAGGGAGACGAAACGCATAGGCGATATAGGTGGCCTTTATAGAGAGGTGGCCACTGAAGCAAGTTTTAAGGCCTACTTCGCTACAATACATACATTATAAGCGGAGGTGGTGCATCCGGGGGCAGCAAAGGGCACAGTGCCCCCATTCTTTTTTCAAATACCCCAAAAGTGCCCCTTTACACAAATAGGAAAAGTGCCCCCTTTTACTTGCCCCCTGTTATTTTGAGTCATGCCCCTCCCTTTTTTTCTATCTAATAAGTGCCATTTTTCCTTCAGATAAATATGTCCCTTTTCCTTTCCAATAAAAGCCCCTACCCCTTCTCATACATCTCCCTTTCACACTTGTGATAAATTCCTCTATTAAAATCAGATAGGTGCCCTTTTCCCTTTCACAAATGCCCATTTTTAATTACAGGTTAAGAAACACTAATTTGTTTTGGGGGGCGAAAACAAAACTTTTTTACTTTTATTTTCTTCAGGGGGGCGCTTTTGTTTTTTGTTTAAAAAAGGTAAAATGAACGTTACCATCATAATTTTTTACCAGTTTTAATTGCCTGATGGGGAGGGCGGGCCGTTCATCCTCATTACTGTCAGTTGTAGGTCCCCCAGACGATATAGTAGCACACACATGCTTTAACAGTCACGTAAAACAAACACTTGCAAAGTGTTATTCAATAAAATCTGAAAATGTATACTATTATCTAGATCTATTGAGAATAAATCATTGTCAAAATCATTCCATAGAGTGGGGTAAAAAAATTATTCCACTTTAATGACCGACAGTGTATATACCAATGTCTAAAAATTGTATATTTTCGCTTAGTTTCCCTTTCTAGCTGCCTCTTTCTTCCAGAAAATGCCTTTTCTGTTGGTGTCCGGGCCCCCCCCCCCCACTTTGATAAACGCCCCGCCGCCCCTGTAATACACCCTCCCTACCATTTTTAGTTAAAATAATAAGTCTTCAAAGGGGAGAGGTAGGCCACGTACCCCGCCCCCGCCCCAGGGTGATCTGGGACCCCAGACCCCCCCCCCTCCTCCCCCCCCCCCCCCCCCTCCGGGTTTGAGGGACCTGTGTCCCCTAGATCTCCGGTAAAGGGTACTTTTCACGCACCAAAGTTCGGCCTGTATTGATGTATACATACTGGAGATAGGTGGTGCAAGCGGGGGTAGGGGGATACCCCTCCCACGGAAGGGAACTTTTTCATTTTTTCGACTTGAAAATGTGCAATCTGGTGCATACCTATAACATACCATTAGGATGTTGTTTTTAACCCAATATATATCACTCGTGTATCTCGTATTGCAACGCAAAGTTATATTCTCTCAGGCATTGGCTACAATAATTTCACGTATAACATCATAGTGAGCCTCTGCGAATACAAGCATCACAAGAACGTATACTGCAGTACAGATTTACGCAGAGCCATTTCGATCAATAGCTATAGTACGTTTTGCCACTGAATCTAGAATATGCCCTATTGTTTGACGCGAAGAACACAATGCGAAGTCTTTCCTCTTGGCATCGCTCTAAACGACCACAGTGGATGGATGCCAACACCGGATCTTCCTACTTTTAATTTACGGAATTCAGTTGTACATAATGGAAAGAAGTTTTTTTTTTCTGAATAGAAATAAAGCGAAATTCATAGGCGTCCCTACAAAACGTGATTTTTATCAGCAAGGTATTTCTTTATAGGAAATGTCTTTGGATCCAAAGGTGACTAGTATTCAGTTTATTATATCTGATTAGGTCTACAAAAAAGAGGTAAAACAAAAATATATAAAGAAAATTAGGTAGCTGGTAAAAAGAGAAAAGGGGAGAAAATTTGAGTGAGAAAGATTGGAGAGACAGAGAGGGGAATGGGGAAAGGGTGACAGGGAGAGACAGAGAGGAGGGAGACAGAGATCGTGAGAGAGAGAATGAGGAGAAAGGTGATATGGGAGAGAGGGGAGAGAGGAGAGGCGTGATAGAGAGAGAGAGAGAGAGAGAGAGAGAGAAAGAAAGGAACACAAATACATTACCGGTATCATACAAAAGGACAATTTCATTGAAAAGCCTTTTCATTCCAGTTTGTGGAAATGCATTTCGAAGTAATTAATTATTTTTTTAATTGAGAGAAAATGCATTTCCGCAATACTATAGCAGCCATCACCTCCAAATCACTAGTTTTGTTGTTCTGAAACTCTATCAATGAGTCCAGTTATTTAGAACATATATATTCTTGTATATCTATAATTATCGATATGATAATGAAATACATGATCAAAAGGCAGTCATTATTGTCAGATAAACAACTGTGGAGATTTCATTGTGTAACATAGATTAACAATAATTCCAAGTAATCAATTTAAAGAAATCAGACTTTTCCTCTTGACTGCATGGAACCCCTCTCAACATTACTCTAAATTGAATGCACGTAGTAGGAAATTGATCACCCAAAATGAAATTGAATGCCCCCAAACATGCTCATCGTGAGCGCCGGGTTTATAATTTGAATACACGAAGTAGGAAATTGCACGCATGACAAATTCGTGAATTTGCTTTCACCGAGCATGAATAAGAGTGCCGATGAATGATATTGATTGTTCGGACACTGAATTTGAATGCCTAAATTCATCTGCGAGCGACCTTTATGTGAATTTGAATGCACGTTCATGAATTTGAATAAAAAAATTGCGAAATTGGTCGCAAAAAGGTTAACCTATAATAGGAGCTCAGAAAATCGAGATACAAAGTGAATACCATCCTCTCTCAAGAAAGGATAATGTCGTTTATTAAACAGAAATTCAGTTCCTTGAGTAGTCAGGTTTTAAATTTAAACTTACAATAATTGACTTCCTTGTTTGATAAAGGAACAACACAGGCAATGAAACATATATTTCGGGAATTATTTTGTAAGAATTTGATAATATTAACACTTTATTATCTAATTAATTAAGAAATAGCTATACTATTTCTGTTTTCATAGGGCTTTTTTTATAATGCAAATTAGTCACAACGTAGTGCTGAACTTAGTCAATCCGTGTATTATTACATATTTAGCTATTGTTATAATAATGCAGTCACATACACTGATTTGATTACAACATTTTATTCACGATTAACATGTCGAATGCCGAATATCATATTTCGCCTTTATTGTTAATGCAGTCGTCATGTGAAGCATGTATAATGAATATAAAAGGATTATGAAATCGTATACATAGCTAATTTGATATTGCACCATAACTCATCTTCATGTAAACATATGACGTTTGCTTTTATTCGATCAGTTTGGCACCAACACTTTTCCGGTAATGTTTAATTTTCATCCCCAAAAGCGGAATCTCATAGCTTAAAAATAAAATTAAACACACCATCAGCACAGGACAGGTAATGACCTCCTGTGTCATAACATATTAAAAGGAAACATGCGATATCCGGGCTCTATAAACCTCCTGATGATTTTCTTCTAAAGAAACAAGGAATTAATAAAACGAATTGTTTCTCGGAATAAGTACGTACATTCTCACGTGAAATAGAAAGGGTTTAAATTGTTCAAATTCCCTAGTGAATATCATCTTACCAGTGACAGAAGGAGGAGAAGGGATTTTTTTTTTTTGGGGGGGGGGGGCGGTAACTAGGGGAGCTGAGGGTATGAAACCCTGAGGAGCACAACTGACGTCCGAAAATTCCAGGTCAAGCGAAAACAGAAAAAACCAAAACCAAAATCAGCCAAACAAAATGTAAAAATTAAAACAAATAACAACACAAAAATCAAATCAATAAATAGTGAAATGTCGTGTCAATTTTATTATATATATATATATATATATATATATATATATTTGTTTGGGGGGTGAGCTGTGTAGCGCCTTGTAAAAAAAGCTAGTCTCAATGTATAGACACTGTTACGCACGGCGACTGGCAAGGCTTTTTTGTCTGCAAACTATCATGACATCCGAGTACAAGTAGGCCTGCAGCAAAGATACATGTAGTAGAGTTTGTTTGCGAAATCATGTTTGGGGACTTTCCCCATATTTTCACATAGTAGGCCTAGGCCGAATACCTGGTGGGTGTTATTTCCTGTTATGTTGAACTCTCATGATCTTTCTTTTCTCATCCAGAAGCAGAGTCACCTCAGATGATATAAGAATCAACAGAGTCGACAAAAGTCCCAGAGAACTATTTAAAAGCTATATACATAAAAACGAGAGAGAGGGGGAGGGGGAGGGACAGGGAAGAGAGAGGGACAGTGAGAGAGGGAGAGTGTGAGAGAGAGAGAGAGAGAGAGAGAGAGAGAAATTGAAAAATCGCATCCCCCCCCCTTGAGCGCCAGTGGAGGGGGCCAATCTCCAAAAAGGTTAAAATTTACACGTTATTCTCCCCTAGGGGGGAGGGCCGAGCCCGCCGCCCCCCCCCCCTGGATCCGCCATTGGCATACCCTTTTGGGGGGAGATGGGCCCCCTCCCCTGGTGCTCAAGAGGGTGGGGTGCGATTTTACCATTTTCAAGGGCCAAAAACAAATTAAGTGCTCACTACCCCCCCCCCCCCTCATTGAGCGAATTATCGGCCGGCTGTTTCGCCGCTACATATTTTCTCACGAATTGGGCCCCCTCCCCTGCCGCCGGCTGGACCCGCCCCTGAATGGCAATGACATTTTCTTGACATGTACCACATGCATAATTAGTTTCCCCCTTTCTCTTTCTTTGTCTTTCTCTCTCTCTCTCTCTCTCTCTCTTCTTTCTATTTTTTAGTGCCTGAGGTGGCCCCTGGACCCCATCGGTAAAGATAGCTAGAAGTTGTTCCAACAAGTCCACAACAACACCGTTAGCGTTGAGGGTGTGTTATTTTCTGTGTTGATTGGACGTGCGACACGGAAACAGGCCAGGCAGTGGAAAACTAGTGATCGTCTCATGGCATTTTCTGAATTCAGTGGCATAACACATGGCATACATACTTTAGCTTTCGATCGAAATGGCTCTGCGTCAATCAAAGGTGGTTCTCTGTATTGCAGTATACGTTCTTTTGATGGTTTTATTCGCAGATAATGTGAAAAGTGAAATTATTGTAGCCAATGCTGGAGAGAATATAACTTTGCGTTGCAATACGACATACACGAGCAATCTGTATTGGGTTAAAGAAAATCGGGATTACATTGCGACCGTCGATGAGGTTTATCCTAAAGGAGTGTTATATGATAATATTCCTTTTACGCAGTCGTATGAAACGGAATTATCTTCTGGAATATTTAAATTGTTCATCTATGATGCTAGAGAAGAATCGGCAATATATACATGTCAGTATGGCCATAATAATCTTCAGAAATACGACGTCCGTGTAATCGGATGTTCGACTTGCTTTGTAAACCCATCATCGTCGCACGTTTTGGAACAACCAAAAATGAATGTAAATTGCCTACTTAACAATTTTCAAACAGCCGAACAAATGAGACAACATATTAGAATTAACAGGAACAGAACGAGTACAGCCATCATCGAAGGTAGTATATTAACCTTTAATATTTCGATTACCATGATGTATGGTAAAATCCTAGTTGAGTTTAATCCGTTTAATGATACTCTGTCGAACATAACATGTATCATACCAGCTCAGCTAACAACACAACCAAGTTATACTTCGGATAAACTTTCTCTAAGTACTTCACTGATAACAACATCAGCGACGTCATCATTACCAGCATCAACAAAATCATCGGCAACAAAGTCAGAAACATCACCAGAGGCAACATCAGCAGCGATCACAACAACAGGAACAAAACCATATGACGCGACGCTAAAGTCATCTTCGTCACCGATTATGGACACTTCTTATTTGCCTTCTGGAACTACAACGTCTTCAAGTACCCCATCGATAACAATATCAGCAACGTCATCATCAAGAACATTGACGACAACGACATCGTCACCGAATATGGACACTTCTTATTTGCCTTCTGGAACTACAACGTCTTCAAGTACCCCATCGATAACAATATCAGCAACGTCATCATCAAAAACATTGACGACAACGACATCGTCACCGAATATGGACACTTCTTATTTGCCTTCTGGAACTACAAGGTCTAACCAGACGAGAAAGAATATAAACCCAGGAACAGACAACAATACTAAAAACAAAGGTATTACAATCACCATGATTGCCATTCTTGGTGCTATCTTGATAATTGTTGTCATTGTGATAATCATACTTGTTCTACGATTGAAGCAAAGACGAGACCGACAACATTGTAAACGTAATGAGGGTGAAATTAATGTCGCAGTTCGTGAACAGGGTACATGCTACGAATCGATTGGTGGATCGTCTGGAATTCGAGACGGCGAATTGATAAATAACGTTTTGTACGAGTCCAGTGATGAGATTATTCAGAGTTCGATTTTGAGATCAGGTGATGAGCAGTTAGACACCGCACTCTATACCATACCGGACAAGACAGGAATATTAAAGCGTGTTGCAAAGTCGGGGGTTGCATCTGTTAGTTCTCATGGCAACAGCTCGATGAATCTTCATCAGCATGAGCAGAACGAATTCAAGCAAGAGGACCAGTATAAGAAAGTTGACATGCCAAACCAAGGAGCCGGATATGACGGTGATAGAAATATCCCCCTCTACGCAATGCCTGACAAAGGACCAAGATCCACAAGAAATACCATGAACACTAGTCCAGGATCAGTATCTACAGAGGATACCCCGCTCTATGCCTTGCCCGATAAAAGACCAGGATCTAACGGCCGGAACATCATAAAGGCCGCACCTGGACCAGGAACGCGAAATGAGGGTGATGAGATCCCTCTCTATGCTGTGCTCAATAAAGAACCAGGATCTAAAGATAATCGGCCTATAGTGAAGCCTACACCAGGCGACCAATCCAAAGCCTTAAATAAGGATGATACACATGATGAAGAGGCTTTGTACGCCGATGTCGATAAATCTAACTGAATCATTATTGTCACTGTAAAAACATTTTAGTGTAGTACACTGTTGCCTATAAAGATGGAATCATATATTTTTCGTACCTCTTTTCATGAAAGGGTGTGACAATATTTTGGACTCCTTTAGGGATCGATAGTAGGGCCCACCGGGTATTCTATATACACTCTCCCAGTTGGCAATATTGTTAGATACCATTGTATCAATTACCATCTTTATGCAGATGACACCCAATTGTTTACTTCATTCAATCCCAAAATCCCAGGAGATTTAGTTGTTGCTTTGTTTAGACTTCAAAGTTGCATTTCAGATATTGGAAATGGGATGTTAGTTAATAAATTAAAGTTGAATGACTCGAAGACAGAATTCTTTGTAGTAGCCTCTCCTCACAGTTTACGCAATCTACCAGATCTTAAGTTAAAAGTTGGTGATATATCCATAAACCCTTCAGTCACTGTTAAGAATTTAGGTGTGCTCTTGGATAGAGAAATGCCAATGTCAGATCGCGTCTCTCAAATATGTACTACTGCAACTTTTCATTTAAGGAACATTTCTCGAATTAATCAATCCGCCTGTAACTTCGCAATTCGTTCTCTAGTTCTGTCCCGTTTAGATTACTGCAATGGCCTTCTTTCCTCTATCCCTGTTACTCCAAAATTGGGCAGCCCGGCTAATTTATCAGGTTACGAGATCTCACTCCCCTAAACCACTCCTTGACTCGTTGCACTGGCTTCCTGTAAGACATCGTATAGTTTTTAAATTACCATGTTTAGTTTATAAACCCCTTAATACACCCCTCGCAGGAATCTACGAGCCTCCAGTGACCCACTCCGTCTTACATACAACATCACACGGAAACTAGCAGGAGATAGGACTTTAACTTTAACTGCATCTTAATATTGGAATAGGCTACTTTTAATACTCAGGCAATCATCATCTGTCTCTTCATGCAAAAATGGACTTGAAACATTTCTTTTTTTGTAATCCAGATTTTTAGGATTATGTAAATTTTCATTTTCATTTTTTGTAGGATTCTTCTTGTTTTAAGCGCTTTGGGCCGCTCTGGGAAAAGCGCAGTATATAAATAATAACCACAAATAAAATAATTTAACAAAATATGATTTATTCATATTACCCATCGTAATCTGCATTGGTCAGGAAAGTTTATAGCGTAGATTTAGAGATTTAGAGAATATCACTATGAGAAGTATCCTTTTTTCAGGGGGAGGGGTTAAAATTCCAATAAGAAAGAAGTAAGGATTGATGATATTCTGAAAATTACTTTTTTTCACATATTATAATATCACAAAGATTATTGCAAGGAACAAAATAGCTAAGATGGGACTTAATTTTCTTTTCTTTTTAAAGAAATAAAAACATGAAATACAGAATTAGTTTTAAACATATGTAAATGACGAGAACAAAAATTAAATGCACATTGGCATTTTTTCTACAGTAATACTCCTGTAGTAATTAGGTATTTGAGGTATAAGGTAGATCTGCGAAAGTTGGAAGAAAGATAATACCAAACCACTTCTGAAATTGACAGCAATCTTCGTTGCAAGAACCCGGCAGGAAATTTTTTCTCTAGATGTGTTGTGGTCTAGTGGATAAGTCACCCAACTGCAGATCACAAGGAACGGGGTTCAAATCTCAACCCAACACTAACGTCCTTTTGGCAAGACGTTAATCTACATTTGTCACTCTCCACCCAGGTGTTAAATGGGCACCCGGTAGGATGCGAACGTGAATGCAGTTTGCTCAGCATTGTGAGCGTCTGTTAAATGATGCTATCATTATTATGGATATTTATTTATTTTTTATTTATTTATTAGTCTTTTTTTTAGTAGGGTGGCTCCATCAGTAGTTAAATACTGTTCTCCGTGGAGGCCCTACAACATAAATACAACATTTTCAAACATATTGATGCCCCGCCACTCCAGAGGATCTATAAGCTCATGCTATGTGGGGAAAATGGAATACTATCCCGTGTCACGTAGGGATATTGTTGTGTTTTATACAGAACCATATGAGGAAATTTCTAATCGGAAATGTAGTTCCTGATGAAGTCAGATTTTAAATTTAGAATAACAATACTTGACTTCCTTGTTTGATAGTCATGGACCAGATGTTTGGAACTCCTTACCAAATTCAATAAAGCATTGTTCATCTCTCTATTCTTTTAAAGCATCTCTCAAAAAAACTCTTATATCGAAGTATCTACTTAACTGATTTCAACATGCAGTAGGCAATTGTCAAATTTTGGTCACATTGCAACTCAGTTTTGCAAATTTTGTTTTCTATTTCGTATTCTTAGTTTCCTTTATTGTAAAGGCTATATTTGTTTCCACTCCTCTATACCACACAGAGCTACGTGCACTTCCACTATTCGTTACAAACACATACACACACACACACGCACACACGCACGCACATAATATATATATATACATTTGCACAACACCCTCACCAACTCATACACAAAGATCGTTTAAACACTTTTTTAATTTTAAGGTTTACCTTAAGATTTTTTTGTTTTTGTTTTTTTGAAGCCGCCATCCTTGTCAAGCTTTGCTTATGATTGCGGTCTCCTGCACTTTTCTAACAGAATAGTTCGATTAATACTTTAAATTTATGATTATATGTTATGGAAATATTAAGTTTCGTTATTATATGTACATATACTATGTAAAAAAAAACATTTTGACATGAAGAAATTATTGTTTATTTATGTTGTATTATACTTTACATTTATATGTTCTTTGTTATTCAGTTATATTTTACATGGAAAAAATGCAGAAATCAAATCAAATCAAAAAATCAAATCATAGTTCCTGGAGTAGTAGTAGTAGCTGTCTGTCGCGAAGCGACAATGACCGCCTTCATTTTCACTAGCTAATAAAGGAACAACACAGGCAATGCAGTACATTTCAAGAATAATTTTTGGTAAAAATTTAATGATAGCACTTTAATTTCTAATACTTATTTCAAGAAGAGGCTACTATTTCTGTTTTTAAAGGAAATTTATTTTTATCATGCGGTATAAATCATAGTGTAGTGCTGAACTCAGATTGAAAAATTACAAAATGTGTATATTTACATTTTTAGTGACGGTTAGATCATATGCACTCAAATACATTGATTTGATTTCTATATTTTATTCACAATTAGCATATCAATTTAGAATAACAGATTTCTCCTTTATTGCCAATATAGTTAGTCTTGTGGAGCATTTTAATTCATCTTAAAGTATTATAAAATCGTATATAATTGACTTAATATTGCACAACTCACCTTTATATAATCACGACGTTTGATTTTATTTGATCACTTACGGCCTGACCATTTTCGTTTGAGAAAAAAATTGTAAAAAAATAAAATGAATAATTAAAAAAAGTTGTTGAACATGCGATGATAAGGAAAATAAAATGTTCTGGACTTGGTTTTACCGGCAAACTAAACTCAAATCATCTGATACATTCCGATGATTACATTATGTATTCAATTTTAATTGTCCAGGATATTATATGCACATTTACTATTTTTAGTTTTCTTATTACTCAAACATCATTTTTCTCTCCATTAAATCTGTACGCCACGTGTAACATGTTTATTGTTTAACATCACAAAATTAGTGTACATAATTTTACCGATGCCATAAATAAATGTTTAATGCAATCGACTGTTTATTCAGAGTTTAATTATGTATTTGGAGTTGACTCGAGTAGTTGACATGACACATGAATCAAATGTTTTATTCTTGTAATGTACATTTTATGTAATTTGAAGCAAATTCCAAAAATATGATCAAGATTTGCAAGCCTTCATGTCTTTATTGAAGGTAGAAAAAGAATATGGAGTAAAAAGTTGCACAAAAGAATGATAACTTACACTTACCTTTTAAAAAAATTGTCTTTTCATTTGGAAACCGATTTTTTTATCAGCTCTATAAGCCTTTTGTGTATATAGACATGTGGAGGAAATCTATTAATGATTTTACATGTAACTCGACTTTAACTATCGTATGTAATTACGTACAAATATTATGTTTGTTATTTTGTGTTTTCTTCGTCTGTTTATGGCTTTCAGTGAAAACATGTAAACAAATAAAAGCATACATTATTTTTAGTACGTTTCGTCGATTTCTGAAAGATTGTTCACATGTTTTATTCTTGTATTTTACATTTTATTTGATTTGAAGCGAATTCCAAAATATGATTTAAATTTGCAAGCCTCCATGTCTTTATCCAATCCAATCCAATCCAAAAGATATTTGATATAGCGCCTTTTCCTTGCAGTTACAAAGCGCTGCACACATGCTCGACAATGTTTGGGCCACTTAAAAACAAAAGTTAGACACTTCTCAGAGATCAGCAATGTAGGCTGGTAATAAAGTAATTTCTAGCAGAAAAGATGTGACTTGAGTAGTTTCTTGAACTGGTCAACAGATGAGGCCGTCTGCACAGCAGTAGTTAGTTGGTTCCACAGTTTTGCAGCAACAGATGGAAAAGACTATTCACCAGAACGTTTCTTAGAGAGACACTGAGTGAGCCAGATGGATGATGATGAGCGGGTATTTCGGACTCGAGGACGACGAACCAAGCAGTCAGCTATGTACGGGGGACATCGGTGGTTGAGAGACTTGTAGACCAGAGGTAGGATCTTAAAAGCTATTCTCTGTCGTAGGTAAAAAAAAGAATATGGAGTAAAACGTTGTACAAAAGAATGATAAAATAAACTTACCTTTGGAAAAAATTGTCTTTTCATTTGGGAACCTATTTTTTATCAGCTCTATAAGCCTTTTGTGTATATAGACATGTGGAGGAAATCTATTAATGATGTTACATGTAACTCGACTTCAACTATCGTATGTAATTATGTACATATATTATGTTTGTTATTTTGTGTTTTCTTCGTCTGTTTATGGCTTTCAGTGAAGACATTAACACAATTATAAAGTGTACATTATTTTCAGTACATTTTGTTCATTTCTGAAAGATTGTTCGATT